ATCCTCCCAAAGTGCTGGAATTATAGGTGTGTATAACTGTGCCTGGTCCTAAAGTGGTTTCTTGTAGACAACATATAGTTGGATCTCCTCCCACCACTCCAACAATCTGTGTATTTTAATTGGTATATTTAGACCATTCACATTTAAAGTGATTACTGAGGCTGGGCATGGTGGCTCATGCCTGTAATCCCAGCACTTTAGGAGGCTAGGACAGGTAGATCACTTGAGCCCAGGAGTTCAAGACCAGCCCAGGCAACGTGGCAAAACCCTGTCCCTATAAAAAAATACAAAAATTAGCCAGGCATGCTGGCACACACTTGTGGTCTCAGTTACTTGGGAGGCTGAGGTGGGATGATCACTTGAGCCCGGGAGTTTCAGGCTACAGTTAGTCTCTATGGCACCACTGCACTCCAGCCTGGATGACTGCACTCCACCCTATCTCCAGTGGTTGCCCTAGAATTTGCCATATATACTAAATCTAAGTTCATCTGAAGTAACACTATACCACTATACCACTTCACCTTTAGTCCAGGTATGTTACAACTGAGTATTCCCAATTCCTCTCTTCCATCCCTTATAACATTACTGACATTCATTTCATTTATCAATGTTGTAATCACCCAACGTACTGTTACTTTTATTACTTTGAATTAACAGCTATCTACCAGATCAATTTAGAATAAGAAAAATAAACTTTTTAAACTTTTATTCCTTCTTCCATGCTCTTCTTTATACAGATTTGAGTTTCTGATCTCTATCACTTTCCTTTCCCCTAAAGAACTTCTTTTAATATTTCTTGCATAGCATGTCTCCAGCAACTAATTTCCTCAGCTGCTATTGGTCTGAAAAAGTCTTTATTTCTCCTTTACTTTTGAAGGATGATTTCACTAGATAGATAAATCCAGGTAAGTGCTATTTTTCATTCGACACTAAATATTTCACTCCATTCTCCTCTTTGTTGAATGGTTTCTGACAAGAAGTTCCCTGTAATTCTCATCTTTGTTCTTCTATAGGTAAGGCGCTTTTTCCTCTGCCTATTTTCAAGATTTTGTCTTTGGTTTTCCACAACTTAAGTATGACATATGTAGGTGTAGATCCTAAGTATTGACCCTGCTTAGTGTGCTTTGAGATTCCTAGACCTGTGTTTTGTCATCTGGCATTAAGTACTTCAACTCTTACCTTCTCCATTTTCTCTTCCTTCTTGATCTGGTATTCCAATTATGCATATGTTATACCTTTTGAAATTGTCCCACAACTCTTGGATGTGCTGTACTTTTATAAGTTATTGTTTTTTCTCTTTGCATTTCAGTTAGGAAAGTTTCTATTAACTTATTTTTCCAGCCCACTGATTCTTTCCTCAGCTGCATCCAGCCTGCTGGCGAGTCCATCAAAGGCATTTTTCATTTTTGTTACAGTGTTTTCTAATATTTCCTTTTGATTCTTTCTTAAGAGTTCCCTACTGTCTGCTTGCATTACCCATCTGTTCTTGCATGCTACTTCTTCCATTAGAGTCCTCAACGTAGTAATCATGATTACTTTAAATTCCTGATCTGATATTTCTAAAACTGGAAAAAGTATATATCTGACTCTGGTTCTGATGCTTGCTTTGTCTCTTCGGACTGTTTTTTTCTTGCCTTTTACAATGCCTTCTAATTTTATTTTTTGCTTAAAGCTGGACATGATATATTGAGTAATAGGAATGAGGTAAATAGATCTTTTATGTGAGGCTATATGTTAACGTGGCTAGAAGCTGGGCTATGCTTTTTTTGTTTTTTAAGACAGGGTCTCACTCTGTTGTCCTGGCTGGAGTGCAGTGGCACTATCTTGGCTCACTGCAATCTCTGCCTCCTGGGTTCCAGCAATTCTCCCACCTCAACCTCCTGAGTAGCTAGGAGTACAGGCTTGTACCACCATGCCTAGCTAATTTTTGTTATTTTTAGTAGAGACGGGGTTTCATCATGTTGGCCAGGTTGGTTCAAGCAATTCTCCTGAGTTCAAGCAATTCTCCCGCCTCAACCTCCCAAGTAGCTAGGAGTACAGGCTTGTACCACCATGCCTAGCTAATTTTTGTATTTTTAGTAGAGACGGGGTTTCATCATTTTGGCCAGGTTGGTCAAGCACTCCTCACCTCAAGTGATCTGCCTGTCTTAGCCTCCCAAAGTGCTGGGATTACAGGCATGAGCCACCGCACCTGGGCAGGGCTATGCTTACTGTTTTCTGTAGCTACAGGTATCAGAAACTTCAGTTCCCTTTAATGTTCTTGCTTTTTTTTTTCTCCGTTGTCTTTGGTTTTCCCTAAGAAATCCTTCTTAAATAGAGTTTCTGTCTTGTAGCTCCTATAGTTATAATGTACTATTATTAAGGTAGAGGCCTATAGACATGGTGGTAAAATGAGGAGGGAAGCATCCTTTAACGTAAAGATGAAACCTCAGTCTTTCAGTGGGCCTGAATGCCTGTGCTGTGATCTTCAAAAGTGTGTGTCATCTTTTTTTCTTCTCCTGTATGTGAGACAGGAAGGCTAGGGGAAGATGGAGTTGGCTAACTGCCTTTCCCCCAGGTTGGATAAAGTTCTGGAACTCTTTTTCCCTTGGAAAGTAAGCCATGTTATTGAGAATATTCTGGACATACTGCAAAATGCTTACTTCTCTTCTACCCTTAACAAAAACCATAGGGGACATTTCTCAAATTTTCACAAAAGAACCTGATAAGATTCCTAGAGGTAATACCCATGAAAGTGAGGAAGTCCCCCAAGAATAGGCTTGCAGAAGTTTGTTACTTTTAAAATAGTCTGTACTTTACCCCCAGCAATTCATCAAAATCACCATTTATGTATTCTACATCAATGGCACTAGTGTCTTCTGCTTCACATAAGCTGATCTTCATTGTATTTCCTTGTCTCTCTAGATTTCAGGTGACAATTTGTCCTGTGACCTCAATTCTCTTGACAGGTCTAAGAAAAATGAGTTTTAGTTTTGTTCAGCTTTTTTCTTTTCTTTTTTTCTTTCCTTTTTGAGACAGAGTCTCACTCTGTCACCTAGGCTGGAGTGTAGTGGCACAATCTTGGCTCATTGCAACCTCTGCCTCCCAGGTTCAAGCAATTCTCATGTCTCAGTCTCCCGAGTAGCTGGGATTACAGGCGAGCACCACCACGCCTGGCAATTTTTGTACTTTTAGTAGAGGTGTAGTTTTGCCATGTTGGCCAAACTGGTCTCAAATTCCTGGCCTCACTTGATCCACCTGCCTTGGCCTCCCAAAGTGCTGAGATTACAGGCATGAGCCACCACACTCAGCCTCAGCTTTTTTCTTATTGCAATGAGAGAAGTGACAAATTCCAAGTTCTACATGTCAGAGCTGAAACTGGAAGTCCACTATTTATTTAAAAAACATTCTATGCTAAATATTTTCTTAATGTATAACATATGCCACCTACAAGTTTTAAACAAGTAATAAGTAAATAAATGTTGAAAAAAAACCCTCAAAACCTAAATGTAACTATTTCACTAACATTTAAGATACACACTTCATCATGATATTGTCATAGGTGAAAAAGCACTAAAAATATGGTCCCTGGTGCTGCTATTTCTAGATGCTTACTTCAGCTAGAAAATATCTGAGCTATTACACAAAGTATTATTCATTGAAAAATCTCATCTCTTAGTGCCAAGGTGCTAATGTCTGTTAGGCTTTAGGTTGAAAATGTTTAAGCATAATTAAAACAAAACATTATGAAGTTTTAGTATTTCTTTTCAACCTTTAACTTATAGGATGCTGATTTTTTATTTTCTTATTCAGTTTTCCATACTAAATTTTTTAATAAGCACATATAACTTTTTAATCTAAAAATACAATAAAGGAAGGTAATCCATTTTGAAAATAAATAGAAAATTATACAACATGCTCCCTGCCGCTAAACGGTCAGCTGCAAATACAAGGTTTTTTGCAGACTCCACAGAGTCTCTCCTAACCCACACTGTGGTTTCTCCTTTGTTTACTCCTTAGGTGTCTACATGATTAGCAGGCCACGGTTTATCACTTAATTATTCTCTAAATATGAGAGAAAAAGCTTCTTTAAAGTAAAGAACATGGTTTATAAAAGGGGTTCCCAACCCCCATCTGTGACCTGGCCACACAGATAAAGGTGTGCGATGGGCGAGCGAGCATTATCACCTGAGCTCTGCCTCCTGTCAGATCAGCGGCAGCATTAGATTCTCATAGGAGTACCCTACTGTGAACTGTGCATGTGAGATCCAGGTTGCACACCTGATAATCTGAGGTGGAACAGTTTCATTTCAAAACCACTCACCCCTCCCCAGTCTGTGGAAAAATTGTCTTCCCCAAAACTGGTTCCCAGGTGCCAAAAAGGTTGGGGACTGCTTTTTCCCCACCATTCCTCCTAGTACAACCCTGGGAAAATAATACATGATCAAAAAACACACAATTGATTACTAATTGGTAAATAAAGAAGGCAAGTCATAGATTGCTGTATCTACCCATATTCTTACAGAAAACTACCTAAAGAGTTAAAATGTCTCTAAAAATCCTAAGTTTACCAAAATATGGAACCACAGGCCTAACGCCACAAGCAGGTTTCCACTGGTGTAACTCTTTTTTTTTTTTTTTTTTTTTTGAGACGGAGTCTCGCTCTGTAGCCCGGGCTGGAGTGCAGTGGCCGGATCTCAGCTCACTGCAAGCTCCGCCTCCCGGGTTTGCGCCATTCTCCTGCCTCAGCCTCCCCAGTAGCTGGGACTACAGGCGCCCGCCACCTCGCCCGGCTGGTTTTTTTGTATTTTTAGTAGAGACGGGGTTTCACCGTGTTAGCCAGGATGGTCTCGATCTCCTGACCTCGTGATCCGCCCGTCTCGGCCTCCCAAAGTGCTGGGATTACAGGCTTGAGCCACCGCGCCCGGCCTCCACTGGTGTAACTCTTAACCTTAGCAGGCTTGCTAGAAACATGACCCTCCACTCACTGTAAAGGAAAGTAGATATTAACAAGGACATACCCTCTGATGTTGTAAGAATCTTCTTGTCTTTGGGAGCCAACGCATGCCCAGCATGACTGATAGTCCAAACTGGAAAGCGTCTGTTTGTCAAAGAGTATAAAGCCTTTGCAAATGGCACATAAAAGGCAGAAAAACCTGGGTTACCTAAGAAAAGAAACACAGACCTTAGATTAATCAAAGTAATAAATATGTATAAGATGACACGCAGACTAGAAAAGATGGGTCTGTTTCTTTTCACACTTTCCTCTGAATTCTTCAGAGTACCCAAGAGAGATTAACTTCAAACTTCCATTAAAATCACAGCAGTACCCTATTTAAACACCCTTCAGGGTCTTCCAGATAAAGTCATCTGGAAAAAGTCTAAAATTAGTAATACTGCATATAAGGTACTTTAAGATTTGGTCATGCTCAGTTAACAAGGTGCATGAAAACCAGAGAAACAAGCCAGCCAAAATAGTGTAAGAAGCATGCACAGGGAGAGCTTTAAGGAGTCTACTGTTTCCTTGTCACTTATCCCTAATAGTACAATTATAAACAGGTGTACAGCTTGATCTTTTGGGGAAACAAACGTCCACAAGTACATGTAGATTTTTCTTATGTGTGTGCAGAAGGTATTTTTGACATGTGTTTGCTATAAAGAAACAGAATAAATAAATGATCTTTTTAAAAACATTCAATCTGATATATCTGTAGGGGGAAATCACAACGAAATGGGATTTTCATCTTGTAATCATCATCTATATAAAGTCTTCACAGCTACTAGTCCATTTCCATCAGTATATACTTCTCTGATCAGTTTATCTATTTCTTCATGTTGTTAGGCTTTCTGGTCTCTGCAATTACATGACATGGTTCTGGAGCACTGATGTAAATAACCACGGTCATCCTTGTCAAATTTCACTGATTTCTACTCAATTGTTTATGTCTTTCAGTTTGCTACATAAGCAGTGTAATAAAGTGATTAAGAGCATAGACTCTGGAGCCAGACTACCTGGGTTGGAATCTTGGCTTTGCCACTTACCAACTGTGTGAGCTTTGACCAAGCTATTTAACCTCTCTGTGCCTTGGTTTCCTCATCCACAAAATGTGCAATAATGGTACTACCTCATTTGAAGAGTAAGTGAATCAATATATGTAAAGCATTGTAACACTGCCTGAAACATAGTAAGTATTATATAAATGTTAGGTATTCAAACTTGTACAACAATGTCTAGCTTTAATGGTATTATACAATGGCCTTAGCATCCACATTATTTTGCTTCTGTTGCATTCTGACCTAGTGACCCAAGTTCCAAATTCCTTTTTGTGATGGTGCTTTTGGCTTCTTTGTCAAATAGGATGAAAACTTCCTCAAATGCAGAAATATGTTCTTTGGTCAGTTTATTGGCCACTGCATAGCTAAGGAAGAAAGAAGGGAGGAAGGGCATAACAGCACTGGGGCTGTAACATCTATGGAAGCTGTGGGTGGCACTGTTTCATGTTTTATGCATTTAAGTCTTCAGTAAGTTTAGAATATTTTTTAGTATAAAAGACTAAGTAGCAATCCAACTCTTTTCCAAGTGACTGGCCAATTGTTCCAAGACCATTTATTATATAATCCATTCTTTCTGCACTGATTTGAAATATCTTCTGACCCAGTACTACCTTTTTACATTCGCTTGCTAATTCCTATACCAAATAATTCAGTTTATTTTTCCTTTTCTCCTCTGCCAGGCCATACTGTCTTAATTACATTTTTTTTTTTGATATGTTAACCGGTAGGGCAAATTCCTTCCCTTTATTTTTCTTTTTCTAAATTTTCTAAGCTGGTCTCATAAACTTTAGGGTTATTTTTAGTAGTTTCAATTTTTAAAAATCTCTTTGAGATTGTGACTATAATTTCATATCATTAATATATTAATTTATAAAAATTGTATATTTTTATATTACTGAGTATAACCTTCTAGGAATGTGTTATACCTCATATTCACATGTTTTATGTTGCTCATAGATTTCTTCATATGGCTAGAAAATAATAATAGCTAGAAAATAATAATAGCTAATATTTTTAGGTGCTATAATTTTCTACATGCCAGGCAGTGTTTAGGTGCTTTACATGTATTGTTTAATTATCATATGAGGTAGCACTATCATTACTTCCATTTTATGGATGAGGAAACTAAGTACAGTGAGGTTAAATAACCTAGCCAACATCACATATATGGCAAGTGATAAATAACTATTTGATGACTGGAAGTATATACAAAAGAAAATCATAAGACTGAATTTTTAAAAAATATCAGTAATCTGGTGTAGGATCTTCTGCATTCCTTGTTTTAGTTAGTCTTACAATATCTCTATAAAGTAGTTAGCATTTTTCATTAGAAATAACGAATGGATAGCCACTAGAACAAAACTTGGTATATGGTAGGGGCTGCATAAATGGCAGCTATTAATACTACAGCTATTATAACAACTAAAAATTGGTATAACATTAAGGAGACATCAAAGATAACCCCATGATTTAGATGTAAGTTACAATGACAGGATATACAAAAAACAGTGAGTACTAGACAATGGATACTTAATGCATGAGGGCATTAAAACCTAGATGATGGGTTGATTGGTGCAGCAAACCACCATGGCACATGCATACCTATGTAACAAACCTGCACATTCTGCACATGTATCCCAGAACTTAACGTATTTTTTTTAATGAGGAAGAATAAATAAATGAATAAAACAAAGTTTTCTCCCTATCTCTGGGTTTAAGTCTGAGTTCTTAAGCTTTCTGATCCACAATTTTATCATCTTCAAGTAAATGATGATGCCAATTACTTATATTCATTCATTCTATTCAGAATTACAGCTTCTTTTAGCCCTCAATTCTTTATTGAGCACTTACTGTATGAAAGTCACTATGTCAGGCAAAAGACAGATGAGGGCCTTTTTGGAATTTATGTACTAATGGGAGAATATACAGCACATAACTAAATAGGTGAGATAATTAAAGAGTGTGAGAACTCCTATAAAAGGAATAAATAGGGTCACATGATAGAGAGGGGAAGAGAATACAGTGAAAAAAAGGTCTGAGGAGGTGACATTTACCCAAGACCCCAAAATGGCAAGAAATAAGCCTTGTGAAAATTTGAGGGAAGAGAATAAATACTAAGGAGGGAGAAGGTCCTCAAGAAATAAAGATTTTAGCTCTTGAAGAAATGGGAGACAGTCCATAATCCTTGGTTCCTCCCTTTGCATCTAATCTATCAGTGTGGCTAAAGCATAACGAGAGATATCAAATCTTGTATGAGATCAGGTTGAAGAGAAAGAAAAATACAATCATTTGACACCTTTTGGGCCATGATAAGTAATTTGGCTTTTAATCTAATTAACATTAAAAGAGTTTGAGCAGGGTTAAGGTATAATTAGATTTAAATTTTAAAAAATTTTCTATCTTAAAAGGGTAATTAGGAAAAATACGAAAATTTTCGTAGCAATACATTTAGCAACTTAGATAAAATAGACAAACTTCTAGAAAGACAGAAACTATCAAAGTTCACTCAAGAGAAACAGATAACCTAAGTAGCCCTAAATTGATTAGATTAATTGGAATTTAAGTTAAAAATCTTCCCACAAAGAAAATCCAGGCCCACACAGCTTCACTGGTGAATTCTATCAAACATTTAAGGAAGAAAAATGCCCAATCTATACAAACTCTTTCAGAAAATAGAAGAGAAATGTATTAGTCTGTTTTCATGCTGCTGATAAAGACACACCCGAAACTGGGCAATTCACACACAAAAGAGGTTTAATGGACTCACAGTTCCACATGGCTGAAGACGCCTCACAATCATGGTAGAAGGCAAGGAGTAAGTAGCAAGTCATGTCTTACATGGATGGTAGCAGGCAAAAAGAAAGAGTGTGTGCAGGGGAACTCCTCTTTATAAAACCATCAGATTTCATAAGACTTATTCACTATCACAAGAACAGCATGAGAAAGACCTGCCCCGTGATTCAATCACCTCCCACTGAGCCCCTCCCACAACACGTGGAAATTGTGGGAGTTACAATTCAAGATGAGATTTGGGTGGGAACACAGCCAAACCATATCAAGAAAGAAATATATTCTAACTCATTCTATGAGGCCAGCATCACCCTCATACCAAAACCACATAAAGACACTGCAAAAAGAAAAAGAAAAAAGAAAACTACAGACCACTATCCCTTGTGAACAAAGATGGAAAAATTCTAAACAAAATTTTAGCAAACTGAGTCCATCAAAATGTTGAAAGTATAATATATCATGACCAAGTGGGATTTATCACAGGGATGCTGGATTGGTTTAACATTCAAAAATTAACATTATCCACCACATTAACCAACTGTAAAAGAAAAATCATATGATCCTCAACAGATGCAGAAAAAATGGAAGTTTTATCCTGTCAGAAATATACTTAATATTGTAGAATGTATAACATACCAAACTTGTAAGTTTAACTTCTTTAAAAGTAGCCATCATTTGCTATAGTTCCCTGTATCCAGTGGCACCAAGCAGCACTAGATTGGGCACATGGCACTCACATACAATAAATCCTTTCAATCTGAATGCATAGCAAGTAACGAAAGGTCTAACTCATAACAGAGACAGAAGTGGAAAATGCAATGCAAAATGCTTAAATACCATTGCATACAGTACTTCATGCTTCACCACTTAAACCTCCTTGTTAAAAAACCACAAAGAAAATTAAAAGGTCCATGTTTATGCAACTAAACAAGACACACACATGGAGGAGTACAGGGGAGATCCAGGTGTAAGGATGTTGGAAAACATTCCAGTGCAGACACGCAAGTAAAATATTTAATCAAAAGTTTACATCAAAATGTGTTATAAACACACACTTGAACACGCTCGTAACAGTCAAATCAGTCAAATACCCATGCAATGTATAACAGAAGTTGTAGGGATCATCTCTAGGCCCTGACTGCTAATGAACTCCAACTATACAACACTGCAAGTATAGACTTATGCCTTCCAGTTAATTTTGTAGGGAAGGGAACAAAAACTGCCACATATCAAGTTAATATGGCACAGTATCTATATAATAGATTGCCATGTAGACAGACCTATTGGACTCATTCATGGAGCCTTATCTGCTGGATCTCCA